GGTCCAAGCGTCAGCATTTTTGCAAAAGTTCTCATGTAATTTATAATGTACAGCAATGACTGAGAATAATTGAGCTATTTTATTATAAAGAACTCAAAACTCAATAAAACTCTGTTGTTTCCACAAGATTCTACAGATCCAAATCTTTAAAATTATGCCATGTCTACACTTTTCACTCTACCTTGACATCCCTTGTTTAATGCACTGTCTTTCTCTACCAATGGCACCAATAGAAATTGGGAATTCATATTGCACATTGATAATAATTTAAATATTAAACCAAATACGTCATTATCATATGCAAGCATGCAGAACTGAAAATATGAATGAACCAATATACAGGTAAAACTCTGAATTAAAATTTCAGGAATCCTACCAAAAATTGATCATATTGCTCACGGTCAATGCTTCGGGTACAATAGATATCCCCAGTGTCTTTCTCTATGAAGAACAAATTGAAGGGCTCTTTGTCCACCCCAGGTCCACTTATGGAGTAAAAGATGGTGTAGTTCTGTGCGGCATCAGATTGGATCTACAGGGAAAATTTAAGAAGACAGCAGATATGTCATGATAAATATCTTTAATCCAGCCTCTTATGGTAGTTTGCTTTTTAGCTATTACTCCCTTTTCTACCCCCTTGTCTGTCTGTCTTCTACTTACCATCATCTGCCATGTTTTTTGCAATGTTTGAAGCCACAGATTCTGTCATTTATTTGATCCCCACTTTTTTTGTTATTTGCATATTTATACAATTTGTGGAGTAATATACCTTTATAATTCCTAGTTAGCTAGTCTTACTTTGACAGAAGTATGGTGACAGTTTCAGTATTTTGAATTATTTGGCATTGAAAATTATGTGATTAAAAAAAAAAAGTGACACAACTTTCCTTCCACAATTAATTCTTCAAGAATTGCATAAGTTTGAAACTGTCTTTATGTTTGCATTCCAGCTATATGCAGTCAGATAATCTTGGTAAACAGAAATATTTGGGGGGGGTTGTGGATAAATGTTAATTGAAGTGAGAGATTAATTATGCAAAATCTGCAGGCATGCCTTCTGTAGGTGAGTGCTAAAAAGTCTAGCATAATATTCAGGCAAATTAGGACATAGATGTAAAGGGCATCTGGAATTCAAAACATAAAACTTATTTCTAAATGCCTAAATGTTTTCTCTTGAAGGAAGTGATAAAATGTAGTATACTGGATCACTTCTGTGAGACCCTAGTTTTGGTGAACAGATCATTCTTCTAAGTACCAATATTTTAAAGCCTTGATTCAATATACTGTGCGAT